CATTCTAATAAATAAACCTAGCCCAGCAGGCAAAGATATTTGAAGCCAAAGGTTCAATTTGTAGTTTAAAAACTGGGTTGTAGTAATTTTTTATATAGTTGCAATGATTACTGTCATGTCCCCTCCCTCCCTCCCTCCCTCCCTTCTGTGCAAAACCTATTTATCCTTTTAGGTATACAGCCAAATGAAGGCAATTCCCCTTTCAAACAACTGATCTAACTGCAAATAAAAACACCAGTCCACTGTTTTTTTCTTAATTGATTGAAATGTGCATTTCCTCTCCTTACAGTGATCCATTTCTTAAATCATGTGGATTTAAGCCCTTGATGTCTGTAGAGGGAGATGGGATGCAAATGATGTCACATTGTCATGATGTCATTGTGTGCCATGAGTTACATAACATCATAATGCATGTGATGTCATTGTGGTTTCTACAAGATGCTTATGCCCAAGTCTCCTTTTTGTGGCCCTTAGAGTTTCCTTTGGACCAATGCTTCTTTTGTGTTTGTGTGTGTGTGTGTTTTGATATGTTATTAGGGAAATATAACAACCAGAAGATATTATGAAATACAACCAAGAATATAACAGTGCTAATATAATCAGAAAAGAATATACAGAATCGTAATTAAATGAATGACATTTGAAGAAACTAAAGATATATCCATAACGTGTTAATATAGCTCAATCCTTTGACATATTATTAAAACTAGCCATATAGACCATCTATTGCTCTATCTTCTCAGTTTTAATACAATATGTTATTTCAATACAATGATATTTATATAACGTATTTAGTTTCTTCATATTCTATTATTTAGGTGCCTTAGAGTATTGAATATAGATTAAGGGGGGGGGAATTGGATATTCTATCAATGTTAATTATAATTTGGATATTAATGTTAAAACATTATGATTATTTTGCTTTTTCTTCAAAATTAAATACAACATTGGAAATTAAAAAAAATGAAGAAAGAATATACATCAGGGTAATAGTTTTATAGTAAAGGTTTTGGTCCTAAGCTAAATTACTCAATACTAAAATCTCCATCATGTTATTACATACAAACAACCATACATACATACATACATACATACATACATACATACATATATAAGGTGTATGGATGTATGTGTTCCTTCAGAGCATTACTTCTGAAAATTAATGGTTGGGTTTCCTGCCAGTTTGAGTTGAAAATCAGATGAAAACTGTACCACATATTATAAGAAAAAAGAAAAAGAAGTCGCTCAAAGCTTCACCAATTGATGTGAAGTAGCCACACTGACTTTAGAGTCCTCAGTCTTCCCAAAAAAGTTACATGTAGCCCTTGACAACCAAACAGTTGCCCAGTTTTACCTTAAATTCTGAGAGATTTGATCTACTGATAAATTGAAAAAAAGAGAGGGTTTGGAGTTTCTCACAACCATCTTCTCTTCCTTCTCTTTCCATACTCCATCTGCTTTTATTACTAGATGTGCTGCATAATAGGCATTTCTTAGATGCTTTTAAATTTGAACACTTTTATTACCCATCACATATACATAATATAATATTTATATGTCTTTGAAGAATTCAGAGAATTCCATGTGAAGAAGGGATCCCCATTCTTTTAAAAATGAATTGTGCAAGCAATTAGGAATTCATGAGTCCCCTTTAGTTATGAATATCATTTTGCCAATTTATGTGGCAAGCAGTCATCATATGGAACTCTGTATCTACACATTTAAAGTGATAAATTTTGTTTCCATTAAATAAAATGAAATGATAGGCAGATTAATGATATACATTATTTCAGTCTTACTTAATGGCACACTAAGCTACTATGAAGTATAACTGTCAGACCCTCTTTTCCCCTTTGATAACTTTTGTGCAGTGCTAGCACAAGTGATCAGCTACATCCAGCTGAGCTTTATGGATACTGATATCATGAATTTTAGAGAATTTGCTTAGTCTGCATTACAGATGTACCCACCATCTTCAACTAAACAACACATTCTTGATGTCTTGGGTCCATTTAAAAATGATTTGTTTTGAAGCTTGTTCTATGTTTGTTCAATTGCAGACAAGTCTGCTTTTCAATAATATCATGGGGGATTTATTCCCCAAAGCATATGACCATTTCAGAAGAACAATTTTTTACCGTTTCAGCATGGGAGTCGAATTTCCCTTTCACACTCCATAATTATCTGCAAATGCTCTTTCCATTTTAAAAATACAGTGCTGTGCAAAAGTTTTAGGCAGGTGTGAAAAAATGCTGTAAAGTAAGAATAC